AGGGGGGAAGTTTTCATGCTATCTTTTTGCCACTAAAGCCATAGTTGGAAAGGGTAGGCACAGTGAGGGAGGGAAGGTGAGGCAAGGCATGCCCTCCCTGTCCTTCTGATACCACTCCCTAGACAGCACTGGGCACATGCCCTGCTCACCCCCTCCATGTTATGCTACTGATTATATTTGCATGTATATGTTCATATACCCACATACAAATATATGCAAAAACATTTGCCCATCTAATACCTATTGTAGCACTCCTCAGACTATAGTTTTAGAACATCACACATTCAACATAGCACTTACATGATCATTGTTCCTATTTCTTTTCTTTATCTTAACAAAGAAATTGCCTGAGGGAAACAGCCAGTGCCATTTATTCCTCACTACCCAGATGGAAATCATCATCAAACCATTGTATCAACCACTAGTCACCTGTCCTGCTGGATTTAAAAAAGCTAAAAATAATTCCTTCCAGGCAAATGTATTAAACTTATTCATCAGCTAGTATGGCGATGTGAGATATTGACTAAGAACTTGAGCTGAAGCCTCTTCAAGTCAGTGAAAAGTCTCAGTTACCTCAATGGGCTTTGAATCAGGCCATAAACAATGTATTGCCTGTTTTATTTTCCGTTGTGTCAATGAAGACAGATGGTTAGGCATTTTTCAACAAATCCTTTTTTCAACAGAAAATGTCCACATGTTGAAACTGAAACTTTTTGTGGAAACACATACATTTTGAGGAAACTTTCATCAGGAAAGTTTATCAGATCTAGGACTGAATTTCTGATCAAGTGCGGAGACAGAGACCCACCTCAGAATATAAGATACAGTCGACAACTCAGTACTTTAGGTATGAACTTTGTCTCTTGCCTCCTGCTCCAAAATGACACAAAACAGGAACTTGAACCTGGGCCTTCCAATTCCTAGGTAAATCCCTGAATTCCTGATCTGTTTGCTCTTCTGGATACCCTCTGCCTCTCTACTTGCCCTCTGTGTCTTCCCCCCACTATTTTTACAAAATATTTTCCCAAGGTCTCGTTTTTTTCCTCAATATACAATTAAACCAAATGCCTAAACCTTAAAATGTTTGTAAAATTAGTTCCTTGTTTTCCAGCCATCCCTAGCAGTGAATGTTCAGTTTGGTTCTTCCTATTGCTTAGAGGAGTACTAGCTGCTGCCATGTGGAGGTGCTATAAAATGCATGAATGAATTCTACTGACAGGAGTTTTACTGAGTGGAAAATAAAGGGCTATCCTTTTCCCCTGACTCACTGTTACTTTTTCCTCTCTTTGATGTATTATTTTAGGATAACATGCATAGCATATACCACATTGCTTTGCTGGCACATAGTTAAAAAAAATAAAAATCAATGAAAATATTTAATCACAAAAAGATAAGGGTAACACTTATTTAAGTGAGTATGGGTTACAAGGCCAGCTGTCAGCCTGCTGTTAAATCTTTTGTTGTAGAGTTATAAACTCACTGGGTTTATAACTGTTATGCTCCTTATCTATGAAAGTGAGTGCCACTACCATAACAAAGAATGTTGCAGCTGAAACATCTTGTTAGTTTCTTCGCACATTTTGTCAAGATAGTTACTATGTTGGACCTGAATTCTAATATCCTCTCTATTTATAAGAATTATTAGTTACATTAACAATGGCAGATGAACATTTATTAACAAGAAAGAATGATGCACCCTACCTATAAATGCCCGAATACTTGGCAAGCTTTACTTATGGTAAATAGTTCCTGCCAAAAAGTACCTCTCCCAAAATATATTTCTTTATATTAGAAGTATCAAGCAGCAACTTGACATTTAGTAACACTGGAAGCGTTTAAGTTCTCTTCTCAAGTTCATAGTGCTGTTTAATCTTTCTTTCCACTTAGTCATGTAACAGAAATGTTAAATTATTGATAAACCTGAAAAGACTGCATTCTCCTTTCTCTTGCTCACCTCGAAGGAGTAAGGGACTGATAAAATGTCTTACTTTTTTGGGCCTCAATCTATTCCTACTGAAACCAAGGGAGGTTTTTCAGTTGATTTTGATGAGATTTGGGTCTGGTCTTCAGTGGCAAATTAAAATGATTTGATAAGTGTCCCATGTTGTTATTGGTCAATGACTGAAAAGCTGTGGATACCAAACCATAATATAAAAAGCTAAAGAATGCAAGAAATTAAAGCTAAATTATTAAATCTGGTTAAATTATTAAAACTATGCAGAAGTACAATATCCATCAGTAGTAAAAATAATTGATGAAGAAATAAAGAAACTTCATAGTCTTTAAATAGGTTTAAAATACAAGTAATTCTCTTCACAACTTTAGAAATGTCAGACTACATAGTCAAGGAACACCTTACCTGCAGAGAATGTCAGTTGGATTTGCTCTTCAATGATCTCTAGGGCAATAAAGTCATGCTTTTCATTAAAACGGCCATTGTAAAGAAGTAGAGCATTTCTTTCTCTGGTTGCAAACCTATGACACACAGATGAACACAAATTTTTCATGGAATGACTATAGAGTGAAGAATGTACAATCAAATCACTCTGAAAAATGATGTCACATCAGTCACCTGATCTCATTACATAAAGCTCTACTGTAACTGCATGATACTTTTAAAACTAACTTAAATTTTGGAAATTTCCCAGGAAAGAATACTAAAAATGATTTAAGGCCTCTCATTTTGATAATTTTATAATGTATGCATGAAGAAAAACACAATGTAATATTAAAATTCATATTTTAAAACAGCAGAAAAATAAAAGCTAAATGAATCAAAATTATTAAATTTTAATGCAAACATTTTAACCTTAGCCTGAGAATAACATCAAAATAATTAATTTTGACGTTTTATATAAAACATTTTCTCAAAATCAACACAATCCTGTGAAATGTTTTCAAAATGTTTTGGAAAACAACCTGTATTTTTTATTAACAATTCTACCAGCTCTAACAAAACATCTGTAAAGAAAAAAAGAGGTTAAAAACAGATATATGCTTTCCTGTAAGGCCAAAATGATTAATTAGCTGAATGAGAGTGTTAATGTGAAATAAATATTTCAGTCTGTTTTCATTTCCTGCATTCAGTTTCACTGTTTCATTGATGATTATTTGCATTTCTTGTCTGATATACAGGCAATTTAGTGTTGCTGGTTTGGGGGTCACAAAATGTCCTTTGCTGGATACATTTCAGCAGGTGAGGAAAAGGAATTTCTACATTTTTTTTTAGGGAAGGACTCTTATTGTTTTGTTTGTAAACTCAGGACATGTAATTTATAAATCACCTTAAATAACTTATTCTAAACAATTTCCAGTTGATGACATCCCTTTGCATAAGAGTGAATGAAGGAACTGTTGAAGAGAGGCAAGATAGATAAAATGCATGTATAGTGGTGGCAAGAGCAGGACATAGCTGGTAAGTGTCCCAAAATAGAAGAACAAAGCTTAGCACAGACAAAGAGGGTTTATGGTAAATAAGCATGAGATTTTAAATTATCTTTCCTTTCCTTAGAAACACTATGGCATCTGCCCTTAGTGAGAACATATGGTGTGTGTATATCCTATAGGCTCCAAACCATTTAAACACTGAGAATGCTCATTAACTTGCAACATAGTCAGTGAACATATGGGTTATTTTTAAAATCCGTTTTTAGTTACAAGGATGAGCTAGACACCCCCCCCCACCCCCCCCGTTGTGCTCTGGGAGGAATCTAAGGCTGAGGGATGTTAGACACTGTGGGATTACAGGAATGCTCCTAAATCACAAAATATGAAACAGCAAATCCTTTGTCTAGCCAAACTTCTAATTCTTGATTATCCTCAAGTAGTTTCCCCACCTGTGTTGAAGGAGAATAAACACCAAAGAAATAACCAATATAAAAAGTTACCTCTCAAATCTACAAGACCAGATATTACATCATCCAAGACACTAAATATGATCTAGAGAAAGATGTAGTTAGCTGAGTTAGCAGAAAGTGTAGAACCTTTTAGACCAGTGATTCTCAAGCAGGGTGCCATGGCCCTTAGTCCTGTGATACCCTCTAAAGGCTGTGGAAGTGCCCAGCCCCTATGCCAGAAGCAAAGGAATCGCTTTTTCTCCTGTCGAGGTGCCTCAGTGTACCTCAGACAAGCAGTTCCTGCAGCTGTTTCCCACCTCCCAGAAGCCTTGGCCACCTCTGTGCTTCCAGAAACACACTCTGCTTTATGCAGGTGGGCTTGTGGATGAGCAGATGTAGGACTGCACTTTTACCGTGTTGTTCCCATGCTCCTGGGCCCAGCAGGAGGGGCTGCAGGTGCATGTGGCTCCAACTTCTGGCATGCAAATCGCCAAAGGAGCAGCTGTAGAAAGGTTTGGGGGGAGGCAGCACTTTCCTCTTTGGCTGGGGACATAAACCAGTGTAAGTGAATGGAAACTCGTTTTTAACCTGTAACAGAACAGAAGTTCAGTGCACATAAGCCACTTTCAAAATGGCCAAAACTGGTTTACAATAAACCTGGCTGGATGTAGTATCAAACTTAACTGATTTAAGTCAAACTGGTTTATGGAACTTCTGTCCCAGATCCCTTCCTGGTTGAGTTAACTCACAGTCCCCCAGCATCCCAGACTGCTTTGCAGCCCTGGGCTATGCTGTTTGCTCCAGTGAAGTAGAGACTGCTTCGCTCCTCTGCTCCTTATCCTGCATCTGTCAGCCCATAGGGAGGGAAAGCCCTTGTGATGGGAGCTTTGCATCCCTCAGCAGCGCTTCCCCACCCCGTTCCCAGCTGCTGATTGCTTCAGTGGCTGACACAGGAGGGAGGGAGATGTCCTCCTCCCAGCCAGGTGCCTGCCCATGCACCCAGCAAGCCCCTGCCCTGGGGGGCTTCCCATCACCCCAGCCCAGGGTCCCCCAGACAAGGGCAGCCCCAGGAGCCAAGGGGAATTCGTCCCTTCCCGAACCCCAGAGCTGCTTGCCTCAGCCCCTGTGAGTCTCAGGCAGCCTAAGGGAGGGAAGGAAAATTCTCCTGCTCCTCCACAGATGGTTTTGCCTCAGTTGCTGCAAGGCAGACCTAGTGCAGGAGCGTGGAAGAATTTCCCTCTGCTCCCGAAGGCGGCCCTGGGCTATGCCTAAGACTTGCAGGGGCTCAAGCAAGCAGCTCTGGGCTTCGGGAGGGGAATAATTCCCCTCAGCTCCCTGGGGCTGCCCCTGGCTGGGGCACCCTGGGCGGGGGTGAGGGAAAGCCCTGCAAGGTGAGGGCTTCCCAGTGCCCCCACACTGGGCTGCTTGGGCAGGCACCCAGCCAGGAGGACTCCTTCTCCCTCCATCCTGTGGCAGCAATCATACCCAGAAAGGAGAAGGGTGGAAATACCACTCAGCAACCCAGGGCTGCCAAGGCTGAGGAACCCAGGCAGGGGGAGAGCTCCCCCAAGGTGGGCCAGCACCCAGACAGGGGGCTCCTTAACCCCCTGTGGGAGGACAGCAGAGGGTTGGGTATACTTGGCTGGGCTGACAATGGTCAGCAGACTGAGATGCATGCTCCAGCACCCCCTGCCTACTGGCCTGTATCAGTACAGGCCTCTCCCTGCCTTTCCCAATTGAAAACTTGAATGTCAGTTCTGTTGGCTATTAGCCTTTAGGTACAGACCAGGGGCAGGGAGGACACAGTAGGGTGAGGTCCTGCCCCTGCCATCCTCACCTTCCAGTACCTAAATTTTAACTCAGTGTTTCCCAAAAGGGTGCTACTAGGTTCCTGAAACTGAGAAAGGGGTGCGCTGAGGCTAAAAAATTTAAGAATCACCATTATAGAGGTCTTTAAGATTTTGACATAGCTCCCTGATGTGAAAACTACTGGGCTAGTTTGTTGTTTCCCAGAAAGTTCCCACAAAGTGAGTTGGAACTATACTAAGCAAAAGCACCCTACACTACAAGGGTCCCTTCCTAAAAGCCCGGCTGGGAGAGGCCTCTCACAGAACAAGAACCACGTTGGCAGAGACCATAGAACACTCCTTCATTTACACTGAATATGGATCTGACAGGTTAAATCCTTTCATCTCTCAGCTTTCCCTTGTTTTTCAGGGATGTTTGGAAACTTTCTTACCATGCCGTATGATCAGTTTTGATCAAAACCAATGCATAGTACCATATTTACTCAAATCTAAGAGTTGGCACTGAGGGGGCTAAGTGCAATGGACACTATAGTTTATTTGGATGGGCTGCACCAACCAAGCCTTGTGGAAGGTTCCCATCAATGTGTTTGCCCAATATTGGCCATGTGTTTTACAGACAAAAAACTTCATAGTTAGTTTCTATTACTGAGCACATGCTGCTTCTGGCAGCAGTTTAATGATAGACAACATATTTAATGGAGGGGCGGGGTTTCCTTGTATGCAAATATAACATGAAGGGCTTTTTTCTCCATGCTGCGGAAGGAGGGGACCTCATGTAAATGCACTACTTTATATGTGGAACCTTCACACACAGGCCCCTTTATCTCAAGAACTTGGCAAATTGTATATATTGTATCTACACATGTTGATTTAACTACACTTACAAGGCTCTATTGAATTTTTGACCACCACAACGTTAAGGCAGAAGAAAGGTAAAATGAAAACATCCTGCAAAGGAGCAGCAGGGCCACATTTGGGTGTAAAGCAACAAGCTGTGTTTCTAGGATTTGCTTAGATTAGCAAAACTGATTGATCTGCACTAAAACCTTAACTAATCCTGACCCCTTTTCCTAAGGTAGGCAAACATCCAATGCTAATTGCTATTTCTTCTTTTGTATATATTAACTAACCCTAAACCTTTTCCTGGTGTCCTAACAGGGTAGTGCACTTTCCTGTGATGTTCCTGGTCAAAGTCAATTTTAGAAACCAAGGGTCAACTTCAACCAGCTAAATCAGTAAAAGATTCCAGGCTGCACCTTCATTAGAAAAAAGCTGCATTTACAAATTGGGTAACATTGGTTTAGTTAAGCCTCACCTAGCCTTGATCTCTTATTCCATCTAAAGAAAACATATACTAAGAGACTGAAGGGACAGAAGTAGTTGCCTTATCTGCAGAATAATTATTTGGGGCACAATAAAAAAGGGGAGAATTTCCACCCTCCATTCATGGGAACACCATTTCCTTGCAAAAACAGATACAGTCTCTTCCAAAATATAATTCTGCCAGTCTTTGGCACTCACAGAGCCTAAGGCTGTTTGCAGACATGAAAAAATAAAACAAATTGCTTTACAGGAAGAAGCATGTTACTTTCAACCCAGCTCTGCAGCATCTGGACAGACTGGGTGCTTCAGCAGGCCTTTTCGGCATTTTTATCTAAAGCTGATTCAAACAGCCATTAGATAAAAGTGCCAAAAAAGCCCCACTAAAATTCCCAATCTATACAGATGCTGCAAAGCTGAGTCAAACTAATGTACTGCCTCTTCTGGGCATGTGCTGGGCTTGGCACGGGAGCATGCCAAGTTTAAATTAAAACACTTCTTTTTTTTTCACATCTGCAAGCAGCCCAGATGACTCTACATTCTGACTCAATGAAAGGGTAGTCTGGAAGTAGACACCTAACAACTGGCCATTATCTCCCTGGTCAAAATCTGCAGGGATTGTGTTACATAGTTAATGCAGCCTGAGACGAGCAATGGGTTTTGTGGAGCCCCAACCTCCCACCATATCCCTGTGCTATTCAAATGCCCTTATTTGAGGCCAGGAGCGATGACAGGGGATAAGGAACCGGGCAATCACAGCTTGCTGACTGTACCCACCACAGATCTAAATGTGGGCAGCAATTGCTTGGCAGGCATCTAGCCAGATCAAATGTGAGACATGCTGCTGCAGGACATGCCAGGCATGTCTCTACTGGCTGCACATTGGAGATGCTTTCCTCCTACAAGCTCCTTCTTGCCTTTTCTCTGGACACTTCTGGCACATCTGCTCTCTCCTAAACCATAAGGGCTACAATTCATCCCTTATCTATATTCAAATACAAGGTTTTGTGAAACTTCAGTAGGAAAAACTACACATGCAGACAAAAAATACTACTTTCTACTGAACACTGTAATAAGATAGTTGTGAACACACATGGAAGTCATTCTCGGTAGTCACTCCTCGGCTCTGGAACTTCTTTCTCCTTAAGGCTTGCCAGAACCTGAGCCTAGACATCTTCTAGAAGTGCTTTAAGACTTTCCTCTCTGATCAAGAATTTAGCAAGCAAGGCTAAGCTGGGCTACTGTTGGGGGAATGAGGTTATTTTATATATATTTTTTAATATTCCTGTTGCTTTTATAAGTTATTTTATTCCCTTCCTATAAGCTGCCATGAGTCTTTGTTGAGAAGAGCAGCATATGAATCAAATAAATGCATAAATAAACTAAATATATAAAAGGAATGCCAACAGCATTTCACATAGCTTCACATGATTAGCAGGGCAGGATTTAAATGCAATTTGGGTATTAAATAGTATTGGATTATTGAAGAAAAATGCCAAAGAACATGTTCATGCTACATCTACCATAGGAATCAATGGCAGTTCTGTCAGACACGTTTAACTCAGTGCACTTCAGTATGCACCTACCCTCGGGGCTGTTCAACTGATGGCCTGTGGGCTGCATCTGACCCATGAGCGGGTGTATGCATGGCCTGCAGACTCCCACCCAGCCACCACTTTGCCCCAGTACTCCTGAAGCCACAGTGGCCATGGTCTCTGGGGCAGGACAGCATGGTGGGAAGAAGCCCAACAAACCTGCTGCCCATGTGGCAGTAATAGCGGGGTGAAAGAGGGGAGGAAGGAATGGGATTTATGCTTCCCTCACAGCATGTGGCCTTCACAACATGTGTGCATTCCCTGGCCTCCCAGAAGTTGGACAGCCCTGCTCTACCTGAACCCAAATCAAAGAGAGATCACAGATTTGGACTCAAATCCTCTGGTCTTAAGAAAGAAGGGGATTAACTTACATGAGGGAAACTGTGAAATGGAAGCGCTGCCTTAACCCCTTGAAGGTAACGAATGACTGGGGGGGGAAGCTTCGTGTTGTCATTTCACAGTAAGGTCTTTCGTACTCTCCTGGAGGGCACTCGCATTTGAAACCTCCTACCAGCAGGTTAACACAGGTTCCTCCGTTTTTACATACTCCTGGTGCGCAGCGGCCTGAGCGAGCATTCACTTCACAGTACTCTCCTGGAAAAGAGAGAAACAAATGTCAGGCATGAAACACATGACACTGGGTTCTAATTAAGTAACAAGCTGCCAGAGACTGATAGAGTTTTTCTATTAAACCTCATTTACATTCACATTTCTGTAATCGAGCTAAGCAGCTATACATTGTGTATGCCACGTTATGTTTTAAATTTTAAAACTGATCGTAGTTCTGGATATTATTTCCTGAATGACTCTTTTTCAAATAGTTAACAAAGTTGGCACTAATTTTTAGATTTCTAATCTACTTTCAGCCTAGAATGATGATAAGTATATATACCAGAAAAGGGATGACAGTATCACTAAAATCCTATATACTTCCTATCAATTTAAGTGTACATAAATTGTTCCAGCATTTCACTGGAAATTGAGTGAACAGACGTGTGTGAATTTCCTCTCGACTGGAATTCTGTTTTAGTGGAAATGTCACTGACAGAGTAAGGTGTGTGCATTTATAAAAGAATGCACAGAATGCGGATGACGTATAGATTGTTTCCATTTTTTTCAGAAGTATCTAGTGAATGCTTATCGTTTAGTTAGTCTTCCACCATCATTAAAGTTGTTAGGAGTTATGTATCTCAATTAAAGACTACTGAAGTTTTCATCCTCAAATGTTATAATTTTATACCATTCAAATATATTAAGATTTGTTAAGCTTAAGCACTCAAAAAGTGAAGCCTGTTTGCACCAAAGGTAAATTTGTAAGTGCAGCATTAACCTTCACCTACCATTGCTCATGTATTACAACAAGAGTTGTCTTTTTCAAAACTGACTTTTGATTTTGTAGCTTACAAGGACTATATATAGGACCTGACCTGTTCATGAGTCCCTTAGCCTCTGCAGACTTTGCAGGGTGCAAAGGCAATATCTGCTGCAAAATTTTCTTCCTACAAAGCACTAATTTGTGTGGTAATTATTTAACATTTGTGTACCGAATGTGGCTTGTGAGGTAACTGTCACTATTATGTTTTATTGCAGTAACCCAGATAGGGATGAAAAATGGTTTATGTAAACAGAACACAATTCAATTAAATTAATCTGAGAAATACTACCAGACAACTAAACGTAGAGCAAAACTGTGTGGCACAATACAGCTAAAAAAGGATATTTCCAGCACTATAATATTTGCATAATTACCAGTTGTGGGTTTATATAGCTACATGACTTCAATCATGATGAAAACTTTATGAGTGCATTCTTAGCGAAGTCAAAATGATATTTAAGGAATTATGTCTCTCCCACAGATGTGAAATACAGTAGCATCCGACAATTCCATTATTACTGTCACCCAAATTCATACTTGTATTGGGTACAACTTTAATGGTCTACACTCAAGTTTGAATTTAGTTCTGCGTTTTTTATTATAACCAGATAAAATAGGCATCTGCAGATGTCTATTTGGGAACAATGAAATGGAAAAGTGCATGTTGCAAGGCATGCAGGGACAATGAAGTATCTCTGATAACAAATATTTTACACAAAACCAGAAACTCTCAATTAGCAAAGCTCTTTAAGCATGTGCTTAGAGTTAAACACAAGTTATATGCTTTCCTGTATCAGGATTTATGTTCCTAAATTCATATTTTATCACATTTTATCACTATGACAAAAAGATGGAAAATCCCTTCGTATTTCCCAATACCACCACTACGTATCAATTCAGGCAAGATTATTTTTAGGGATGCCCAATATTAACATAGCAAAGAGGTCATACAGATTACAACGATGTGTAACATGCTTCCCCTCACAAGGAAGTGCTATAAATTGCGGTTTTAGGGGAAAAAAATCCACCGGCAGTGTGTTGAATATGAAGGGACACAATGTAAAACAAGCACATTTGTTAAAAAGATGCTAAGGAATATGTTTGCTCTATAACCAGAATCAATCGCTCTGCATCCCAACAATCCAGGACAACTCAAACAACCCCCCTTCTGTGTACCTAAACTCTTCAAGAATTAGAATGACATATTTCCTACATAAAAGACTAAGCACAGGCTTGTCCTATTTATAAAGTAGTAGGATATTTAGTGATATAAATCTACAACTGTGAATGGAATGGAATCCTTGAGGCTTGCTGAAAAGAGACCAAAACCATTGACAAAAGCAAACAAGGCACAGACCTGAACACACAAAAGAAAAAAAGACATGACATTGAAAAACAGGAGGGATTTTTTCCACTCTAGCATGTTGATGGAATACCATGGCAATACAGTGCCTTCTCAAGCTGAACTCATTTAATTGTTCTATATTAATTCTTCCAAACTGCAAGAGTTTACAGGCTCAACAGATTATTAGTTGAGATACAAAAATAATTTCAGTTTATAATGTACAACTGTAAAACCATTCAAAGTTCACAAAGGAGTTTTACAGTAAAAGTCACGTTATCCTGCACTTCAGCAACTGGCATGCTCCATCAACTGGCAATGCTGGTTGATGTAGCAAAAGCAAAACCGGAAGTGCCCACTGTGGCACTTCCAGTTTCATCAAGCCCCCACGGCCCAGGGCAAAGCAGCCTGAGCAGGGGCCCCTTTTCCTGTCTCCTGGCACACTGATGCCTGGGAGGAAGAGCAGGCCAAACAGGCAAAGACACCTCTTCAGGCCTCTCAGATAACCGGCATATTTCGTTATTCAGCACCCCCCATTTCCCACGGGTGCCGGATAACAGAGCTTTTGCTGTATTGATTTACCTTTATTATGGTTTCATTTATATATTGGAAAAAATAATTTTGCAATTCAGTTAAAATTATATTTAGCAACATATTCATATACATAGAGCATTACCCAGTTAATAAAATTACAGTACCTCACATTAATCTCTACCATAAATGAGAATAGTATATGACATATATTCTTTGATGTTGAATGTCATGTTATAAATATACAGACGAAATCTATTGAAATCTTTTTTAATTGAAAAATCTGCAATGATTCAAAATTAGCATTAATTTTCAAAGAAAAATATTCCCCTTATCTAATATCTCCAAAGAAACTTGGTGACTTCTGTTACTTATAATTCCTTCTGAATTATTTAATAACTGCATTCTTGGACCTTCTAAGTACCCACTCAAGAAAGCACTGCAAACATTGTTCTCAGAACACCTGATATGTCTTGACAAGTAAATAAGCCTAAAATGTGTCTCTTCAATTTGTCTATTTTTTCTGAATAGATATTAAATATATTTTTGACAACATTTAAAACATCTTTTAAAGGACAGTAGAATACTAAGGTACACTGCTACCATTGCAGTGGGCACATTATGTCTAGGGACAAACATTAAAAAAGCCTGAATCGATTCAATCTTTGCAGTTTAGTCTAACCTGGCTAGGCTAAACAAGAGTTAGCAAGAATCTGCAGGTCTGCACTGAACTGCCTGCTACATGGGTTTTTTTTCCAGTACGCTTTGGATATATTAATCATTCACTTGGGCTCCAACACTTTCACCTGGGCTCAAACACTTTCCTAAGTGAAACTGATGGTCTAAAGAGAGATAAATTCTTTCTTTAATGGAAAGGGAGGAACAACAAGAAATAGGGCACCAACATTTTTTGAAAATACGATCTCCATTAACCACCTGTCCTGAAGAAGAATCAATCATGAACATGCAAATTTTCTTGATAGCTTAACCATCATATGAAATTATCCTTCCTCCTTAGCAAGCATTCTGAAAAACTGTAATGGTGATAAATAGAGAAAGAATGCATAAAATATGTAAAGGAAAAGTTTTTTATTTAAAACTTAAAAGAGCATTACATATTTCCCAGAACAATACATTTGTAAAAATCTCCTCCAATAATATGAAATCTTCACTCCTTCGGATATCTGTATTACTTGGAAGAAAGCCAAAGTAACAGCAACTCTCAGATAACTTAGCAATCGAATCTCTAAAGCAGGATCTTAACATTCTATATAGCACTCAAAAAAAGATTAGGATTCCATTAGAATCTCATCAGGCTTCCACATTAAACATTGATAGACTGTGTGAACAGCCACTGCCAGGACTTGGTGTACAGTTACAGTAAGCAAGGAAACTGATTGTTCTAGCAGATCTCATCCTGTTGGTACCTGTTTAGAATTGAGTGAGACTTAGTAGAGGCACATAAAACCTCATCCAACAAAATGAACAAAGAGAATGTAAGTTGCAACCTGTGCAAGGAAATTTTTCCTCTATGACCTACTCTTCAGATGTCTACTTCATATTCTCCATTCATTTCCAGCACAGACTGAGTGCTTACTATGCCCTGAGCTCTGCACTGGGGATAAGAGACAGGGGCAAATTCATAGCTTTACTGAGACTAACAGGTAGTAGAATGACAAATATAGTAATGAGCTAAAAAAAGTAACCAAAACATTGGGGATGAAGTAGACGATGCATTGTTACTGAGTGTAGAAGCTGCCAGACAACTGAGGATTGTGAAAGCCAAAAATAATTAAGCACAATTGCCAGAAATCCTGCCAAAAAATCATGAGATATTGAAAATCATGAGAACAAAATGCCAAAAATCATGAGATTGGTTTAAAATTCATGAGACAGTCTAAAAGAATAAATTTATGAGGCTTTTTACTTTTTCTCTGCTTTCTGATGCTTTTAAAGGAAATTGGCAGCCCCTGAAAAATGTCAGTGCTTCTGGGCTAGGAACACAAATTGCACACAAGCTGGTACAAGTGATCAGAAAACGCTTCAAATCGGTAACACAACAGAAATTCAGTGCACATAAACCACTTTCAAAATGACTGAAACTAGTTTAAGATAAACCTAGATGGATTCATCATGGTGCAGGTCCACGAGGGGCCAGCAGGGGAGATTATGCTTAGGGGCAACAACATGGGTTCATTAGAGGCAGATCCTGTCAGACCAACCTGGTGGCCTTCTATGACCAGGTCACAAAATCCTTAGACACAGGTGTCGCAGTGGACATAGTATTTCTGGACTTTAGGAAGGCCTTTGACACTGTCTCTCACACCATTCTCATTAAAAAACTAG